TCTCTCTCTCTCTCTCTCTCTCTCTCTCTCTCGGGTAGCAAGATGGATGAAAGAAGAGCCACTCCCCTTGTTGTCTTGGCAGGATTTGATGGGGACAAATTGAGGGGACTTCTTGGCGACCCCTTGAACTGCTTCTGCTCATTATCTGTTTATTTTCCTCTTGAAGTTCCAGGAGGGAGTAGGCCAGGTACAAGTCTTAAAGTATTCATTAAGAAATGTGAACTTAAGTACTACAAGTATACTTAAAACCTACAGATTTTACTTTATGTAAAAAAGCATTGGATATAGGTTCTCTAGGAAAATGGGTGAGGTAGATGCAGCCATTTGCTGTTGGTGCTAATGGTGGGGTGCATTGAGCCTGCTGTCCTTTTTCATTTCCCTGGCCCAGGAACCAGCAGTCATGACAGCAAAGCACTGCTCTGTCAATTTCTCTGGTCTCCACCCTGTATGGCGCAGGTCTTTTTTTAGAATGCTTTGCAGAACCTAGGTCTGGTGTGTCTGCTAGGCATTGTAATGTCCAGTTGTTTTGATTAAAACCCATTTCAGGAGGGGAAGTGAGTTCTTTTAATTTGGATATGAGTAGGGAAAATCTTTCCCCTAACTACTTCTGGGTTACAGTAGAGTCTCTGGAACTATTGGCTTTATCTGACTCAGGCTTTTCTGGAAAGGTTAATAATTGCCCTCTATCCCTAGGCAAGCAGGTACAGTGTCACTGTTCAGTATCCTCTGCCTGAACCTTGGCTTAGAGGCACACTTATTTTCTTTTGTGTGTTCTTTGAAGCCAGCCTTGTCCTACCCTCACTCCCATTAGATATGGGCAAAAGACAGAAGAGCTGATACAGGAGATGAGCATCTGTCTGTGGGTCATCAGTATTTGACCGAGGACTTACATCCTTACTTAGCATCCAGTTTGAGAGGGTGGCACTTCTTTGGCTCTCATTTCTCTTAAGCTACAAGGATCCTTCTGAAATGTATCTTTGGGACTTAGAAATACAGGCGTATCCAACTTAGGGCAGAACATACATGGCCTGAAAGTTACTGTGGAAGGAGGCTATAAAGAATAGCTTGACTGGCCAGGGATTTGGCTCAGTAGTTCTGCCGCCTGCTCTTTACTGCAACGGCCTGAGTTCTATCCCCAGTATTAAAAAAAAAAATAGTTTGGCTGGGCAGGGTGTCACAAGCCTACAGTCTCAGTTCTTCAGGAGTTTGAGGCAGGAAAATCATTTGAGCCTAGGAGTTTGGGGCCAGCCTGGACAACATGACCAGACTCTATCCCTTATATTAAAAAAAAAAAATCATTGGGCTAGAGATTTAGCTCAGTGGCACCATGCCTGCTTTTCCAAGCTCAGGGTCCTGTGTTTGATACCTGGTACCAAAACAAATCATTAGATCCAGCTTCCCCACCATTTGAAAAGCCTGTTCTGGTAGCTGTTTGTCTCTTGTAGTAGGAATAGTTTTTTTTTTTATTTTCCACCTTCCATCTCAGGCACTTTAGTGATAAATATTACATGATTTTGTGGATCAGGGAAGGATTACAGATCTGAGCTTCTGAATTCATAGGGACCAGAGAATTTGCCTGAGAAGAATGATTTGGTTGAAAGCAGAGTGAGTGTGGCTATTTCTTCCTTTCTGAGAGTTGAGGACACACCCATCCCTATCACCATGTTGTCTTCACCATGCCATGTTTGGTTTTTGGAGCTATAATGACAGTGTAGTCTCTTTTCTTTGCCTGTGTGCTGGGGCTTCTTGGAAACCCCGCAGGGAGGGTACTGCCTCCTAGAGTAGGATGCAGCTCTCCCACCAGCCAGCTGCAGTGCCAAATCATGCACCCTTGCCAGCAATGCGGGAACATACAGCCCACATTCCAATGCCTACATTGCCTTTCCATCCAAAAACCAACTAAGTCAGTTTCTTTAGGCAGGGAGGAGATACTTCAATAGCTTTGGGAAATCTGGGAGTTACCCTTGCAGACAGCCTGTTTCCTTGTTGTCTGTGTGGAGCGAGGTGTTCAGGCTTATGTTTGGGCTCTGCTTATTGATGTGTTACCCCAGGCAGCCATGTCTTCATGTATGACCACCCTGTACTACTTTTAAGTATTCAGCCATGTGGGAGGCAGTGTTTAAGAGCAGGCCTCTTGACTGAACATATTCAGTGTGCCAGGCATAGTTAGGCTCTGAAGTTATATCAATGAATAGGTTAAAATTGTTGCTGTTAAGAATCCCCGTGACTATGAAGGGAAATGTGGTATATGAGAAACAAGGTATATGAGAAAGTGTACCAAATGCAGCACAGTAATTGCTGCAGCTGCAGCTTCCAATTTCTCTCTTTTTTTATTTTTTATTTTTGTTACCAGGGTTCAAACTCAGAACCTTGTGCTTGCCAGGCAAGCGGCAGAACCACTGAGCTAAATCCCTGGCCCCTCCTTTTTGCTTTTTTTTTTTTTTTAATTATTATTAGAATAACCTTTCTTTGGGTTCTCAGCATGAGACTAATACATAAAAGACATTCTCCAGGAGCTAGAGTGCTGCTACTTTGTAAATTCCTTTGACCTCAAAGCCAGGCTGGAAGACCCTTGCTGGAGTTTGATTCTGAAAGCTGTGCCTACAAGGCCCACATGGTTTAGGATGTGACATTTTGTGAGGTCCCTCCTTTCTGTCTACCTTGGTAGGGAAGAAGCCCTTCAAGAAAAAAAAGTACTAGAAGTGTGTTTTTCTCAGACACTTCAATGGTTTGTGTCCAGGACCATCCTTGTTCTGCTTTCAGTATCTTAAGTCCTGTAATAGTACAGTAGGGCTTGTGGGTTCTATCCTTAGTATCCTGCAGTGTGAGATGGAGTGATTAATAGCTCCCATTTATTGACTACTTTTTATGCTGAGTACTCACATGATTTTAATGCTTGCATAGATGAGGAAATAGGCACACAGAAGTTACAAAGTGCCAAAGTGGCACAACTACCCAACAGTCCAGGCTTGAGCTGCTTGGTTCTAAAACTGTGATGCTTCCTGTTAAACCTGTGCTCCTCCGAGCAGATCCCTTGGACAAGAAAAGTAACTCTGTCCGCAATACTGGAAGCTATTTAGCCAGGTCATATGTTCCCTTGTAAGGGACCCTAAAGGTGAGGGTGCTAGACAGGTCCCATTCCTCTCTCCTTCTCGGTTGCAGCTCATTACTGTGTTGCCTATTGAATTTATCTTTCTGCCTTACCCCCTTTTGCCTCTTGTGTGTACATTACTCAGCAGAATAGTGGGGTGACGTGAGAATCTACTTTGAGAGACCTGTAAAGGTCTCTTAATGAACATCTTGTACAGAAGCCCAGTGAGCAACTACATGGTCAGTCTAGGATGTCAGAGGACATAGCCTATTGCTGCCCACTCCCTTTTCGGAGTCTTGTGGGAAGTAACCTGCTCACCCCATTTGGTTTCTGCCTTAACTGCTAACCAGTGAATGAAATGTTCCCTGTGCTGTTACTTACGCTACCCCCCAACCACGCGCAACAAGTCTTCAGTATTTTGCTTCGATACTTTGAGTATCTTCCAAACAGCCTTTCTGAGGCAACATTCCAGATAGGCTTTCTGTGTGGAATGTGAACTTCTTGCGACCAGCCAGGGTCTCCTGGTCTATTTCAACTCCCAATTCTCCACTCACTGTACTTCCAGCATGCAACTACAGTGCCTTGCTTATGGCTATTTAATAAATACTTGCTGAGTGATGAGTGCTGAGCCACTCTGTTGATCCTGAGTGGGACTTTTGTTTTGGGTTTTGTTTTGTGGTGCTACCTATTAAACCCAGGGCCTCTCAACATTTTGGGCAAGTGCCGAACTGCTAAACTACATCCCCAGACTATCTTTGTTGTTTTTTAACTGCATATGGTAGTTCTGACAGTATTCCATTATTCTGCCTCCTCTTTGTGTTGATCAACTTGAACAGATTCTTTGCAACATAGTGTCTTTGAGCCCTAATAGCTTCTAGAGCATGATGGTACAATATGACAAAAGTTTTTGTCATATGCCAGAGCCTAAGTTCTGTCATGAAGTCAAGTAGTCTATTTGGGAACAACCTCTTGAGATGAGGGAGAACTGGGAAGCATTGTAACAGGGGGTGCCTCCACTGTTAGCAGTTAGGTGGTTGGATGTAAGATAACCTAATACAGGGCTTGAGTATTTCTTCTCTGCAGGTAATGGAACTTGTTCAGTGATTAAGATGGATGGTGCACTGGGGAAAAGGCTGTGCTTGGCACCACACTTAAAAGGTCATCGCTTGAATTGGAGTGTGTTGTAGTGCAGCACATTTGGGAGTCACGAAGAGTGGGCTGTTTTCATATCTGGAATGAATGCTGTCTTTGACCTTTCCTGCCTGTCTACCTTCAGAAAGATTTCTCAGCAACCTAGATCCAGGGATGGAGATGAGGAAGAAGGGTTCCAGATATATGACCTTATATCTTGAACTAATGGTGCCCAGTCTGAATTTTTCCCATGACAGCTTCCATTAGTCAACAAGTGGCTGTGATCCCTTGGTCTAGTCTCTTCCTCAGCTGTTCAAATAGCATCTTGTAATGTAAACATTCATTTCTAAGCCCTTGCTGCCATTGCCAGTGCTGCTAACAGACTCTGGATGCCTTTGTACTCTGGGGGAAGGTTTCAGAAAATTCGAACAGTGACTCAGCTGTAAAACCCACAGGAGCTGGCATAGAAGGGTGAAAGTAGAGAAAGTTAACAATCAGTCTAAAAATATTACTGCTGATTTGGTCTCTTATACTCTCTGAAGTAGCATTAATGAGCTGGAACTCTCTGCCAGGTTCAGCTATAGAGGAACAGTCCGGTCACTCTAGGGCATCTGACCATCAGTCACAGTTTCCAGAAATGACTTTTTCTTTGGGTTGAAAGGAAATCTCCAGCTTTATCCGGCTGTTGTGGTGGTGCACGCCTGTAATCCTAGCACCTGAGAGGCTGAGGCAGGAGAATTGCTTTGAGTTCGAGGTCAGCCTAAATTACATAGTGAGACCTGTCTCAAAAAAAAAAAAAAAAAAAAAACTTTATCCAAATTCTCCTATTGTTGACATTCATTTTATCCCCATTTTCTTTATCATTTGTGTTCACTCTTATATCCCCCTCATTCTGAACGATTAAGAGTAAACATTATTTTACATTTATGTATAACAAAACAGTTAATGAATTTCACACAATTTAAAATTGACTACTCTTATTATCTTGTTCATTCCAGTTTTATCAGGTAATGTAGTAACGTTTTTCATAGAATTTTTCTCTTTCTTCTCTCTCAACATGTATCTGCCCCTAGCTCCTTCTTGGTCAGGATGAGCTTACAAAGTCCTTTCACAGTCTTGAATGATTTTCACAGTATTCAGCTAGTTCTTCCCATCACTTTTCCTGAAAGTATTACCATATTTTGTGCTACTCTTTATATTCTTATTTTTCCGAGTATTATGTGTGTCTACTTCATTGCTTCTCATCCTTCTATCCCACCCAGTGTTTTCATATCTCAAAACTCTGGAAAATGTCCCATATAGCTGCCTGTGTTTCTTTGTTTGGCGCCCTCCTTTTCCTTCAGTTTTAGCTGCCATTGTGGTGTAAAAACTGTGTTTATGGTATAGCCTGCAGCCTTTAAATCAAGGGACTTCATGTATGAAAGATGTGTGGGTGTGGTAAGGAGAGTATTAGAAATTTGAAGTAGCAAGACTTAGGTTTTCTAGATTAGTTTTCTTTTGACTTTTAATTTTTACAGATCTCTCCTTGGAAATTGTTAAAATGCAGATTCTAATTCATATCTGGTACGGAGTCCAAGATGCGTTCTTAATGAATTTCCGCAATGGCTGGACCCCAATTTAGTTTTGAGACCTTAATATGTTAGGTCCGTGGTGCTGACTTCTGGTGGGTACAATTGCTCAGCTGTAGATGATGGTCTTAAAGAATTTGAACAGTAGCCAGGCATGGTGGCGCACACCTGTAATCACAGCACTCGGGAGGCTAAGGCAGGAGGATCGCTGTGAGTTCAAGACCAGCCTGGGCTAAATAGTGAGTTCCAGGTCAGTCTCAACTACATAGTGAGACCCTGTCTCAAAAAAACAAAAAATAAATTAATAAATAAAATAAAGAATTTGAACAACAACGAAAAAGAAGCAGCAGGAACATGAAACCATATAGATAGAGATCCTAACAATTTTAAAAACGTAACTAGTAAATGTTACATTATGAAAGATATGACTCAGTCGAGGAGAATGGGTCCTACTCCATCACTCCTTGGCCGTTACTTACACAGGCTACTGCTGAGTGGTAGTTTGCTTTTGCTAAGATGGGGTAATACCCATTTTTAGGGTATGATGATTATTTACCTAGAGTGCTTCTGGCACAAGGTGTGTTACATGTTGGATGTTCAGTAAATGTAAGTTGCTATTGGCCTGGTCCAGATTGTGGGACAGATGACTGACCATGAGCCAGGAACACTTAAAGAAGTGACCAGTTTTGGTTGTCCTGTCATTTTCCACTAAGGTAGGCATATTGTCATAGCAGAAAAGTGCATTTGACATAATTCTTAGCTTTGTTACAAGAATTTGATAAAGGCACAAGAGATCTTTATAATGTTTATAGCTTAGTTGAGATAAACAGATTTATGTAAAACCTACCAAGATGACAGTGACTGTGAATTAATGTGAATGAGAAAAATGGCATGTTATGGCCACCATGTTGTATTTTGACTCTTCTAATGTCCCTTTTTAACCATAGATGAAGGCACAGTTCCTACAGCCTGCACTTGTCCACTTCAATGCCCCAGACATGCATGGACCCTGTGGGCCAGCCATCGCTTCTTGAGTATGTTTGCTCTTAACTGCTTTGCATTGTCTCCCTTGTCAACTCCCTTTCCTCAGCCATTTGAAACTCTCCTTCCCCAGGGTTAACAAACTCTGCTTGATCTTGTCTGTCACTGGTAGATGTTCCCTCTAGCTTCTTAGCCTTTCTTACAGTGCTGCTTTGCTAAATGAACCCTTCTCATTCTCCCAAGCCTCATCTACTTCAGGGCCAGTCATCATTTCTTCCTTCCAACTTCCCAGTCCTTCGTTCCTGGAGATGTCATCATTTCATTTTGTTCTCACCTCAGGCCCACCTATCACCATGGCTCCCTTTAACGTGCATATAGAATCTACCTAGCATTTTAGACTTTACATATTCATAGTTCAGCCACTTGTTCCATACCCTGGGCTCTGCCATCCTCAGAACTTTTATTATTCATTGTTCTGCCTCCTCCTACTTATCCTTTTTGTCTCTTTCATTCCTCTTACAGCTATTAGCCCAGTAGCTGGAAATTGCTATTTCTCCATTTATTTGCTTCCAGTCTACTGACTCTGTTCTGTCTTTAACCTTTAACATGTGACCCACTGTTCTTCCTTCCCCTTTATTGCTGTCACCAATTCTGTTGTTCCATTTCCTCATTCACACCTCCTTGGGGAAAAAAATCACCATAGGCCCAGTGCATCCAGGTGCCTGAGCTCTGCTGGGGATAATCCTGTCTGTCCAGTTTCATACTCATCTTCCTCTCACCTGAGTGCTGGGGATTACTGGCCATCTTCCTCAGTTTCCCTGGTCATCCCCTCACCACCTCATGACCCTCTCTGTTCAGTGTCTGTTACTTTCAGGATGAAATCCAATCATACTCTCTGCCTGGTTGTCAGGGCTCTTTGTGATTTGATTGTGACCTCATTGTTCACCGTGCTAAGCTTGTTTTTGTAAAATGTGAAGAAGAATGAGGCCCTCTGGCGTATTGGCACCATTTTTAAGACTGACATACAAGTTCTGTGGATTTTTTTCCTGCTTTCTACCAGCTTTTGTAGCATCTTCTGCCTTCTCAGTGCAAGGATTCCAGGGGCTTTGATACTTTGTTTCAGGCAAAGGTTTGTCAAGGATTGTTTCTGATGGTCATGAGAATAAAGCATTTGGAGACAGCTTCAACATATATTTAACTCCTAGTTCTTTGGAAACTGCTTTGAAAGGCCTAGGTAAAAGACTATTTCCTTGAAAAACAAAATAGTTAACCAACTAGCTCCTTGATGGATATGGTTTGGCTTTCCCCTCCCATCACAGATAGACTGATTAAGACAGTACACCAAGAATTGGCCAGGATATGTGGGGACTGAAGCTCATTAGTGGGGGAATATAAGATGATATATCTGCTAGGCATGGTGGCACATTCCTATAATCCCAGAACTCAGGGACACTAAGGAAGAAGGAGCACGGTGAGTTCAAGGCCAACCTGGCCTACATAGTTCAGGGCCAGCCTGAATTACAAAGCAAGAGACCCTGCTCTAGAATATAGTACAGCAGTTTTCTTTAAAAAATTAAAAGCATTTTACCACTATAGAATAATAATTGGGTAAATACATCCACAGTATCCCCTGCATTAAAAAATAAGGGCACACTTACTATATCTTTATCTGGAAGGGGAGATTGTATGCCTAGTACAGCTGTTTTGGGTCTCGTGTGTGCATATGCTCTTAGTGTATTTGGTACACCGAGAACATCTTGACTTTGATTTCAGAGATTTATTTGTGCCTCTTGGGACTTGCTTCAGCCCAAGCCCAGCATTTAGCTGACTTGAAAGCCTGTGTGGCTGTTTGACATAATTGCTAGTCAGGGCTGAAGTGGACCCAGTCATAGCCACTTTATTGAGCACATACATTACTTGGTTTCACCTCATAGTAATTTTAAGGCAAGTAGTCTCATCTCTTCATTCCTTAGATTAAAAACATAACCAAATCAAAGCTTCTACTATAGCACTTGTACTCCTGTAGCTCCATGGCAAAGCTCTCTTTTTGTTGTCCTTCTTACAGATATGGGATGTGCTTTGCTCAGGTTCCTCATTTCTCCAAGGCCAACTGTGGAAAAATTTGGCTTTTTTTTTTTAATACTTTTTGGTTTAGTTTGGTCTTTGGTTTTATGAGATAGATTTTCACTATGCAGCCTAGGCTGGCCTTGCCATCACTGTGTAGCCCAGGCTGACCTCAAATACCTCCTGCCTCAGCTTTCCAGGTGCTGGGATTACATGCATGCACCACCATGCCTGACCCAAATTTTAAATACAGTACTGTATTGTGTACTGGGCACTGTGTGCTCGCTACTCTTAATCTGCTGTCTGACTGTTGAACCCCCTAACAATGTTATAAAATACTGTACTTAGTATTCTACCCAAGAGGCCAGTGGAAAAAGTAGAGGCTCAGAGGGGTTGAATAAACTTCCGAGAACTCATAGCTATCCGTGGAGGTATCAGATCCAGTATCCCTGGTTTGTTGTAAGTCAGAGAGTAGATTTACTCTCATCCTTCTCCTTCCATCCTAAATTTTCTGTCCAATTTAGGGATGCCCAGAAGATAATTTGTATATGCATCAGGGAACTTCTTAGATGAGGAGATGTGCTTATAATATCCCAGACTTCTAGCATATGGCATGCAGTTCTGCATTGTAGTTTCATGGCATTAGAAAGATGGAAAATATGGTTTTTAAAAATTGGCAGGCACTAAAGGAGTATGGTTTAGGCTTCCTAATTGTGCTGCAGGCATATCCAAACAATAATAGCTATGACCTCAGGTCCCTAGTGGCACAGCTTCCCAGATGCTGGCACAAACCCTTAAGCCTAGTGGCAGAGAGCAGCAGTTTTGTTCCTACTGTAGTGGCAGGAACTCGTGTCTTCCGATTGTCATTCTGTAACTACCTCCAGTGGTCCCCGGGTGGCCAGATCTCAGAAGTGGATGGTTTATCTGGTCATTATTTTTTGTGTTTCTGCCTGTGGGAGAAAAGAGCTTATGGATGAAAAGAGCATTAATAGAAGTTTTCTAATTTTGTTTTGTTTTGTTGTCCTAGTACTGAGCATGCTCCATAACCCACTGGGAAATGTCCTAGGAAAAACCCCCTTGAGCTTTCTGCCTCTGGATCCCCTTGGGTCTGACTTGGACAAGTTTCCAGCACCCTCAGTTAGAGGATCCCGATTGGACACCCGGCCCATCCTGGATTCCCGTTCTAGCAGCCCCTCTGACTCAGACACAAGCGGCTTCAGTTCTGGATCAGATCATCTCTCAGATTTGATTGTATGTAACATACTTGGGAAAGAGGGCTTGAGGGTGGAGTTGCCTGTGTGTGTCGAAGACAAAGAGGGTGAAGTACATGTTTTAGAACTTGAAGTGGGGTGTCTGTCTGCCAAAATTCAGCCTGGGCATTGGGGTGTTAGGAAGAGTGGAGACCATCAAGTATGTCTGTGGAACCTTCCATCCTCAACAGAATTGAGGATGCTTCAAATACCCATTATAGTGCATTTCAAGCCCTGAACCCAGAACTCTGTACTAGTTATTTTTAAGAGCTATTGGAAAACAGTTAATTTCAAAATTAAGTGCATAGCCAGGCATGGTGGCAGATGCCTGTAATCCTAGCACTGAAAGGCTGAGGCAGGAAGATCACTGTGAGTTCAAAGCCAGCCTGAATTATAGAACCAAGATCCTGTCTCAAAAAACAAAAAGTAAATACAGGGGCCCTGGCATTGCTCTTTTCCTTAACTTGTATGGGAGTTTGGCCTTTAAGCAGTATCATTTATATCCCTTTTATATATGATATCTCAAGAATTTTAAGTGATAATGTAAAGATCACATTAGCAATTATTAGGACTAGTATTTAATCAAAATCTTACTCTAGATTTTATATTTTTTTCCACTGACCCATGCCAACTCTCTGAGGCCATAGTGAATCTCTGAAGTATTACCTCAATGTGTATATCTCATGTTCCTTATCTACATCCGTGTTTGACGTGTTCAGTTTCTATGGATTAGAGCTAGTGAAGAGGATAGTATAGCAGATATAGATAGAACAGCGTTGACATTGTAGATAAGTGAATATGTATGGGATTGGCAGTGAGAGAGCTTCTCACAATAAAATCCAGTTTCAGGTAGGTGCCTTCCAAGACTTGTTTCTCTATTGCCAAATCCTGAGCTTAATGTTCAGTGACTAGAATGGCTCTCTCTCTTTTTATACCCTCACCTTTTCCATACCCAGGACTGGTGACATTAGTCACGGTCACAGTTTCCATTCATGGCAGTTAGAGCCCACTCTGTTTTGTCAGCCTGTCTTAGACTGGGAAGGCTGGGTTTGGTGTTACTACTGCCCCCTGGTTTTATCTGTTCAGACTGTGTTTCAAGAAGGGCAACCAATAGTAGGTTCTTTCTCTGGTCTCATTTTACTGTCCTGTAAGAGAGGTCCTGTGAGCTGCTTTGCATTCTGTTTGTGTGAATTCATATGGAACTTGTCTTGGAAATTTACCTCATGTCTAGTATTTGGGATTCTGTTTAAAGAACCTTCTCAGATATCCTGCCCCAGTGGTTATTTTGGGAGAAATTAAGGATGACATTGAAGAGGAAGTCGAGGCAGTATTTGAATTTACCAAAAATATTCTATAAACAACTTACTTTTTTTTTTGTTTTTATGTCATTTGATCCCTTTATATCAGAATGTAAGGGGCCAGGGATTTAGCTCAGTGGTTCCACTGCCTACCTCGCAAGCACAAGAACCCAAGTTGAAAATCTAAGGACTTGACCCAAACGTAGTATAACTCATGTTCCCATATATTTCTTACACAGCATGGAACTCTTGGAGAACACATTTTGACATTGTGTTTCTAGGAATCTGAACATAGAAAATACAAAATGTGAAGAAGCTACATCTTAAAATGTTCATAATTCTGAAAACTTGAACATCTAAATGTTTAATATGGGCCGGGGATTTAGCTCAGTGATTCCACCACCTGTCTCGCAAGTGCCAGGTCTCAAGTTAGATTTCCAGTACCAGAAAAAAAAAATGCACAGGAAGAAAGTCTAAAAATTTTATCAAATGATAAATGTATATTAAATATTTTTCATAATTTCTATAGTGTATTTATCACTTTATAACAAAACTGTCCTTTAAAAAGCTGTGTCTTCCTTTCTCCTCCCCTAGTCAAGCCTCCGCATTTCTCCTCCTCTGCCCTTCCTGTCTCTGACAGGGGGTGGTCCCAGAGACCCCTTAAAGATAGGAGTTGGGTCTCGCATGGACCAAGAGCAAGCTGCTCTCGCTGCAGTCACACCTTCCCCAACCAGTGCTTCAAAGAGATGGCCAGGAGCTTCAGTGTGGCCATCCTGGGACCTCTTTGAAGCTCCCAAGGATCCCTTCAGCATAGAGAGAGAGGCCAGGCTGCACCGGCAAGCTGCAGGTAAGTGTGGCTGGGACATGCATGGGGCCCAAGGCCTCATTCTTGGAGCTCAGAGGAAGTGACCTTAGTTCACACAGTAGTGAACTGCCTAGAAGAAGGCTTGGTTGCATGGTGAAGTTTCTAGATCTACAAAGAGCTATCTGTTCTGTGGACAACTTTGAGGCTGAATGAAACGAGGCAAGTAATCTGGTGCACAGGGCACAACATAAGGGGTTGGATCCATATCTCACACACTTCTGTGGAGTCTGGCTGCGTGCTGTCCTTGCTTTTGATTCTTTCATTGGAGATGTCCTTAAGAAAAGCCCTGTAAATGATTCCTGGAATTTTGTCTCCTTCCTTAATTCACTGCCTTATCAGACAAAGCCTATGCTGAGGCGCTCTTCCTTGAGGCTTTCTGATGGGTACACTGTGGGTGGATAACCCATTTGTCAATCTCTAAGGTGTGGAATGTCCCAAAGTGCAGGGATTTCTTAGGGGTTCCCTTAGGAACTCCTAAAGTTTTCTCCTTTAAATGATTATACACATTAAGTATTTTTCATCTTATACCACTGCTTAGAAATAAATGAGCTTTATATGCTATTGAAATCCTTCAGGGAGATGCTTATCAACCACTGTTCTGCAGTCCTACAGCTGATGACTAAATATATGTTAGTTTCTCTGTTCCATTTATTTCCAAAAGTGTTAATTTTTTTCACAAACTGGTCCAGATCTCATTCTCTTCTCACAGTGCAGCTGCCCTGGTCATCTTGTGGTTTTGGTGGCCCATCCTTGTGCTTTCTCTTTGCCATTGTTTCACTGTAAAGTGACATAACCATAGTTGATTTGTTTTTGTCTTAAACTGTTGCCAACAGAGCCCAATTTCTTCTTGTAGCAACACTTTGGGTCTGTCTTTTAGGATTTGCCCTCCACAGCCTTGTCCTGAAAAAAAAAAAATAGTGTTCATTTCATTGAATCTGCTCAGAAGAAGGGTGAGATGGGAAAAAACTAGCCAGTTCCTACTTAGGTCAATCGCTGTTCTAGAAAGGCACAAACTGGGTTGAGATGAGTTTTACATAATTGGTCACCAAGAAGAGGCCTCTAGAAATAGGGACAGGCCAGACAGCAGATAGTTCCAAATCTGTAGAGCAGGAAGGTCTTTTTAGTGTGATACTTGTGCTTCTCATTGACATAAATAGGAAGCTGAGGGAAGTAGGATCCATTATGCAGTGCTGGTATCAAGGAAGGCCCTTTGTCTGCTCAAATGCTATAGGAAAAGCTCTGGCACTTAAGGGGAACGATTCTGACTTGAGGAACAGCTGTGACGTTCCTGTCTTGTTGAGTTGATATAAGTGATTTTTACTGGCAGTATCCTTCTGTGATTGATAAGTTCAATGCCAAGATAGGAAAATAGGAAAATAGTAGTTCCTCATTTGAAGAGAAGGCCAGTTTCAACCAATAGGCCTGTGAGACATTGTATTACTCTGAATTACTGTTTATTTTTAAGTAATTATAAATAGTACTATAAGCAATAAATAAACTGGTTGATGGTTAGCATATCAGTTGTATCTTTGAAAATAGCTTGGGGTATGATGATTTTTATCCTGTATTTTAGTTTTGTAGTCATTTCAGTTTTACTTGGAACAGAGTAGTTTGGTGAGACATAAGGTTTCTTATCTTTCAGAATAGTCATGGATATTCTCCTAGGTAGCCAGGTTAGAGCTGTGGCCCGTCTGTTTCTTTCTAAATTAATTCATATGGGAGAAATGTGGTAACTTTGTTGATTTCTAATGACTTATTTCTGTCCTCTGCCAAAGCTGTGAACGAAGCCACCTGTACCTGGAGTGGCCAGCTTCCTCCCCGAAACTATAAGAATCCCATCTACTCTTGCAAGGTGTTCTTAGGAGGTGTTCCTTGGGATATTACAGAAGGTGAGCTGCCTCCAGGACCTCCTGCCTCAAAGCTGAAGGTGGAGCCTGTCTTTCAGGAGCCTGAAGCTCAGGCTTAAGGCCAGAAACTGAACCTCTGTCTCAGTACAGGGTGCTGCAGGAGCAGCTGAGTGCCCTTCTAGATTCCCATAGTGCTTCTGTGTCTGGTGCTTACACTTACCACCTGAGACCAGAGGTCAGCGTGGAGTTATTTGTCAAACGAGGTGAACCAGGAATGGGACAGGTGATCCTGTGCTTGTGTGTTTCCTGGGGAGGACTGGGCCTAAGCTTCTGCTATTCTTTCTTATCTCTTTGCAGCTGGATTGGTTAACACCTTCCGTGTTTTTGGTTCTCTGAGTGTGGAGTGGCCTGGTAAGGATGGCAAGCACCCCCGGTGTCCTCCCAAAGGTAATATGCCTAAAGGTAATAAAGACATGGTAGGAGCTTTTTTTTCCCCCCTTATTAGTATATAATTGCACCAAAGGGTGCTGGGATGTCACAGCTGCATGCTGGTATTATGGTGGGCACTCCAGACACAGACTTTTCTGTGGTCAGCACTTCCTCTTTGGCCTCTCACATCCCTTCCATTTCCTCTGAGCTGTCTGTCCAAGCTCTCAGTGCAGGGAGCTGCCTCTGAACCCCTTGCCTATGCACCCCCCACCCCCAGATCTGAACCCAGCAGTGCCTTCCCACTTAGAATAAGGTGCTGAAAAAGCTTTTCCTTGACTTTCTGCTGCTGCCCAGTTGTGTTATTGCCTGACCTGATTTTGAGATCCCTTTGGAGTTAGCAGGATTGAGGACCAAGCATCTGATTCCTCACTGAAATAAGATCTCTTCCCTGTTAAAAGGAGCAGGTTCTATTTTCACTCTTCTCCCATCTTCATTGAATTGAACCAATGGTTTAACTAGGCTTTTAAAGCTATAACTGTGTCCCCTAGTAAACTGGCTACAGACCTGCCATCCTTCCTGGCTCTGCTGATCTGAGCATACTCTGTGCTCTGGGACAGAGAGCTGTGTGATGGTGGGGTCTTCTGTCCCAGCTTGCCAGGCCCTTCCCCTACCAATGTGGGAGATGGTATGCATCTCTCTCCCTTAACCTGGACATATGGTATAGCAAGTGCTTTCATTCAACAAGACTTTTCAGAAGTAGAACAAAAATGTGTCTGGTGTGCAAAGCCCCCTTTCTGAGAAGAAACTCCCTAATAAAAAGCCAAGCCTGAGAAGTAGCCACCTGAGGAATGCTAATGCACTTTTTCCTGTCATTGTGAATAGGGTATGTATATCTGGTCTTCGAACTTGAAAAGTCTGTCCGGGCCTTGCTTCAGGCTTGCTCTCATGACCCACTGAGCCCAGATGGTCTGAGTGAATACTATTTCAAGATGTCTAGCCGAAGGATGCGCTGCAAGGAGGTGAGTCAGCATGATGGCTCTCTGGGTCACAGTTGATTGGTATATTGAGGCACTGGATTTCCTTGTGGGAGTACACATGCAGGCTATAGCCAGAAGTTTTTCTTGCTGAGGCAAGAAGTCTTCTCCTCTTGTGCCACAATAAATACAAGAGTATCTTCTCTACTACATCAAAAATTCCAACCTTTGAGCCTTACTGGGATGGTTATAAGGTGTGTGTGTACACACACACTTCCAACCATGAAAATCAGACTGTCTCCCGGCCCTTCTTTTTCTAGCCTATACATCTGTTCCAAACCTCTTAATCTTCAAGATGAAATTTAGAGCAGCAACTTTTCTGTACTTGGACTTAACTGATAAAATCAGCTCTTTCTTTATAGACCTGATCTCGGGCTGTGTCTCCCCTCCCCAAATGATGGTTAAATTCTCCTTTGTTCACACCCACTTATGAGTTGCTTCTTCACTCCCAGTCAGGGCTTGATTAGTTCTGTACTTCTTGCCACATACTTCAGTCCCTGCCGCCCCCACCCCTTTGAATCATTGTGTTCTTGGCATCATGGAATTGCCTCTTCTGAGAGGACTCACTTTTCTCCAGTTTACTGAATCTGGGTAGAGTTTAGGAATCTCCACTTTAACCAGGCTTCCCAGATGGTTCTAGTGGAGAGAGTTTGAGAACCATTTGTTTTGAATTCAGCATGGTGTTTTCTAAAAATCTGACTCCAAAGGGCTGAGGATTTAGCTCAGTGGTTCTGCTGCCTGCCTCTCAGGGTCCTGAGTTCAATCCCTGGTACCTCCCAAAAAATCTGACCCCAGAATATATCATTTTGACAAATTGGACTAGATATGTAATATCTCTGAAACCTCACTTCTTAATATCTCTAGAACATTCACTTCCTAGCTTATAAAATAAACTAAAATACTTTTATCAAAATTATCAATGGCTTCCAGGAGTTTAGCAGGGAGGCATGAATAGACATAGCCCAAGGATTTTTAGGGCAGCAAGACTTTGTGATACTGTAATGGTAGATATATTTTCTGCACATTTGTCCAAACCTACAGAATGTACAGCAGACATCACGAATGAATCCTGATGTAAACTGTAGACTCTGCATGTTGGAGACATCAGGGTGGAGGTTCATCAATTTCACATCATATTTAAATAACCCATCAATAAGTCCTTTATAGAAGGTATTTTTCTTATAGATGTTCGATGGTATTCACATTGTAAGTGACAGGGGCAAGTTCATCTTCTGGCTACCACTGTGACCTACCACTCCCCTGCTTTCTCTGATTTCTTGCTGCCTGGACTTCAGGCAGCAAGCATGAGCTCATTAAGTTCTGGGACTTAGTTCACATGTCTTCCTGGCCCCCTGCTTTCACATCTGTTCCTCTGCTTCCATTGCCATATCCATACCACACTTCACTTCTCAGCCTCTCTTGTGACACCTTCCCACCTCCCTTCCTGTCTCATCACCTTACATCTTTCTTTGATGACTGGCTATACACTGTCCCAATTATCTACCTCTCTGTTAACTTTTTCCTTTTTGTTACCTCCTCCCTACCACTGTAAGAGTGGTTATTATTTGACTCTCTCATCTTCTTTTCCATTTCAGAAACTTACTCTGGGGCTGGGGATGTAGCCTGGCAGTGCTACGCCTGTTTGGCAAGTGTAAAGTCCTGAGTTCAATCCTTGGTACCAAAAAAAAAAAAAAAAAAAAAAATAAAAAAAAAAAAAAAAAAAAAAAAAAGCACAAAGCAAAACTCATTGGCTCTACACCTAACCTTTAGACTCATATTTGCCTCTCTAGCCTCCCACACTACCTGATAGCCTCCTTCCCTTGTGCCCTCCCTTTGGATGCTGTGTAACCCCAAACTCTGCAAAATGGGCTTTTTCATCTTCCAGTGAAATTGGCTCCCCTAGTAACTTCTGCCTGGTTCTCTCACCCCCAGGTTTTTAGGTCTAGATCACATTAGTCCTCATTCTATCTTGTTTACTCACCATGCCCAGGCAGTCTGAGTTCTGCAGACTCTGCTGTTGCAACATCTCCTTGTTCTTGACTTGTGTCCTTATTTCCAGCAGCCTTGTCCAGGTCTTAATCACCTGTCCTCTGAATTACCATTTTTGCCTCCATGCTGCTTTCTGCCTCAGATCTCTTCCTACTTCAAGACATCTTTAAAGGATGTCCACAGCTGAATCTTCCAGAAACACCTACTGTTCATTTTGTTGTGGCCCCCTCCCCCTGCTCTCCCAAGTTTTGTTCTAAATTAAGGGGATTCAGAATCAAAAGATGTTTCAGCTCCTGCCTTAGTGTTACTCAGCTCTTCAAGACTTCAGGGATGTCGACTTCCCACTCTCCTTCCCAGTGCTCCTGGCACAAAACCTCTGATGCATAGGTTGGGTCAGTAACTATATCACAAATATCCTAAGTATCCTTCATCCTTCAGGCCCCAAGCCTTTTAATTTCTTTCTGAATTCCTTCTTAAGAACTCACGTGCTCTCTTCATTAGTGTCAATGTTTCTTGGTTGGAAACATACAGTTGGCAATTATAACAGGGTATTGTGTTCCTGGGCATAACAGTTTGATACTTTCTAAGATGAATGAGTGTTGTTCCACTTACTCTGACCATTCTAGACACATGAACTTAATAAATTTCAACTCGTTGGGTTGAAGTTGGGTAGAATGCTTTACTGAATGCTTGTGTGCCTAAGACAGGTGATGGTACCTTCTTTACCCCTGCACAGGACTCTGCAGCCCCCATGTAGTGTCTCCGAGCACAGGAGCCCCACTGTCTTCACCCTTTTCCGGGACTGATCTACCTTTGGGGGGTTTTCAGGTGCAGGTGATCCCCTGGGTCTTGGCTGACAGCAACTTTGTCCGGAGCCCATCTCAGAGGCTGGACCCCAGTAGGACAGTGTTTGTTGGTGCACTGCATGGGATGCTCAATGCCGAGGCCCTGGCTGCCATCTTGAACGACCTATTTGGTGGAGTGGTGTATGCTGGGATTGACACAGATAAGCACAAGTATCCCATTGGTAAGTGTCCTACTTTTGTGTGGAAAGCTTAGTGGCCCCTGAGAGTAGACCAAGATTGTGGTAGTTCCCCTTGAGAGCAGAGAGGCCTGCCCCAGGCCTGCAGATCAGCAGATACTAGCAGCATAACATCTTTCCCAGACAAGTCACCAGTTCTGGCCTCCCTGCACCTAGCCTTGTATTCCTGCCTCCTAGGTAGGGGAAAAACAAGTGATTGGAGGCTGTAGGAGGTGATTGATGAGAATGAGGCAGGAGCTTTGTTGGAAGCTCAACGTTTACAGTTTGGGACAGATTATTTATTTATTTAAGATAGGGTCTCCTAAAGTTCAGGCTGGCCTTGAGCTCACTATGTAGCCCAGGCTGACCTTGTGTGACTGTCCTCCTGCCTCAGCTTCCCAAAAGAATGCTGGGATTACAGGCTGCAGTTTCCTTTATTGGTGGTTCTGGAAAAGCTCTGGTATGCCTGTGCTATCCCAGCTCAGGAGGGGTCTGTGGCATGATGACTGGGTATCACTCGGCTCCTCTGAGAAAGGTCAGTTCCATAGTCATGGCACAATCTCCATAGTGGTGTGGTTTGGAGGTGGAGCTTGAACTGTCCAATCACAATGTGGCTAACCCACCTCCCCAGATGCTTAGTCTGCCCACCCACAGTGCATCTGGTCAGGAAGGAGCACCGTGTGCTCATCAGTGCTGCGCAGCAGACTGAGAACAAGGACTTCAGAGGCTGCAGGGTGGAGGTGGCACTTGGCAGGATGGCACTCCTTCTGGCTCGCCTGCTGGGTCTTCAAGGTTCCTCCAGGCCAGGAGGAGCTTGACTCCTGGGCCTGCTCTTCACAGAGGTGTTCTATTGGCCTCTTGGTTTCCACTCTCAGCCCTTTGCCCTTATCTATGCATCTACCTACACCAGAGGAGTCCTTTCCTGAATGGTTTGTACCAACGTGTTCTGGAACTCTAGTGTCCAGTACAGTAGCCATCAGCTAAATATGGCTGTTAGTGCTTGAAATAGGGCTGTTACATGTTACAATATTCTGGACCCCTGGAGTTAAATAAAATGTATGTGTGTGTGTGTGTTTTGTACCGGAGATCAAACTTGGGTCCTTGCACTTCCACTGAGCTAAGTCCCCGGCTAAAAAAAAAATTTTTTTTTTTTTTTTTTTTTTTTTTTTTTGTTTTTGTTTTTTGAGACAGGGTCTCACTATGTAGTTGAGACTGACCTGGAACTCACTATGTAGCCCAGGCTGGTCTCGAACTCAGTGATCCTCCTGCCTCAGCCTCCTGAATGCTAGGATTACAGGTGTGTGCCACCACACCTGGCTTTAAAATGTATAATTTATATTCAACCATTTCCTTTTTATTTTGATGTGGCTATGCCAAATTAAAAAGTAAGTAGCTCACTTTTTATATTTCTGTTGGACAACATTGGTGTAAAAAACAGGGTTTTACAGTGTTTGAAGAGTGGCATTTGAGAGAATTTGGCTAGAAAGTAACTTCTGGCTTTTTTGTTCTAGGATCTGGCCGAGTTACTTTTAATAATCAACGTAGTTACCTGAAAGCAGTTAGTGCTGCTTTTGTGGAGATCAAAACTACCAAGTTCACCAAGAAGGTGAGTGAGTTGTTTTGTGCCCTTACTCTGGGGTATCTGAGAGGGGCTTGGGCCAGTTGCTGCCCAGGGACCACCAAGGGACTAGGGAAGTGAGCCAGCTAACAAGAGGTTAGGGTTTGAGATGGGCCTGGCCTTCATGGGCTCCTGAGGAAGGGAGCTGGGACTGCTGAACATCCTGGGTGATAGAGTGTAGCACCTTCCGCATTGTGTTTTTGTTTGCTTTAGTGAGTTCTTTGATGTGACACCTCACCCACATCCTCCACTCACCTGCTGTTAGCTGATGGGTAGGGGTCTTTTGCTTAGATGACGAGGCAGGAGGGTGTGTGGTTGCCTGCAGCCTCCAGGCTCTGTGTGGTGTGAGACTGTTCTCTAGCGTCCCTGTCTATACTCTGCCCGTAATTTTCACTAGCCTCTTTACTGTGTGTGACCCAATTGTGCCCTTGCCGCCTGTCTGTCCACTGCATCCTCTTCTGTTGCTTTCTGCAGGTTCAAATTGACCCCTACCTGGAAGATTCTCTGTGTCACATCTGCAGTTCTCAGCCTGGCCCCTTCTTCTGTCGAGATCAGGTGAGTTCCCTGGCCATTGAATATGTCTGTGAAACCACCACTTCAATTAACAGTTCTTAGGTCTTGTGTTTGAGTGTGTGTGTCGGGGGTGGTGGTGCTGAGGCTCAAACCCAGGACCTCACAGATGCTAGGAGGCACTGCATCACTGAGCTATGTTCCCTTCCCTTCAAGTATGAATTCTTAAGCAGTGTTTGTGTCATTAAGTGTTGGAGTTCTTTTTTGTTGTTGTTTGACACAGGGTTTCTCTGTAGTTTGGGCTGGGCTTGAATTTGTAGTGATCCTCCTGCCTCAGCTTCCTGAGTGCTAGGATTATAGAAATGCTCTGTGGGGCCAGGGATTTAGCTCAGTGGTTCCAGCACCCGCCTCACAAGTGCAAGAACCCAACTTCGATCCCCAGTACCAAAAAAAAAAAAAAAAAAAAAAAAAAAAGAAAGAAAGAAAAGAAATGCTCTGCCATACCTGGCCCTGAGTGTTGGAGTTCTCAGGGATGCCTCAAAATCAGAGGAGGAAGCAGAAGTCAAGGGACACACCATAGTAAGTTTAACCTGGAACTCTTGAGAAAGCTGAGTCAAGTCCTGGTACCTTGGCCTTGTTTCTGCTGGGTGGCTGCTGTGCCCAGTGGCACTGTGGCTGGGTAATGGGGTCAGCAGTATCTGTGAGCCAGGCATTGCTGCTTTAGCTCTGAGGCCCTCTTAGGTGTTTTATATTCCCAGCTCCAGGATTCCCTTCCAAGCTTCTAGACTGCTTTAATATTTGCACCTGAGTGGTACCCTGGCCATTGTATCTCCATGGTCAGCAGGATGAGCTTGAGGTGCTTCTATAATAACATCCAGACAGAGCAGTGTTATATATGTGGGTCTGGAGCATAGTGTGAAAGTTGTCAGAAAGACAACAGCATGGTAGCTTTCCATGGAACATGTCTGGTAGGGGTACATGGATGGACTTGGGTGTTAAGGTGGTGCTTCTCAAATTCATCACCTGATGGTCTGGGGAAGTGCACATTTGGGATGCATAGTGAGACTCCTTGGTTTTTTATTTTGTTTCATGTGTGTGTATGTGAGTGAGTGTTACTGGGGATCAAATTCAGGACCTTGCTCTTGCCAGGAAGGCTCTGGTGCTACTGAGCTAAACCTCCAGCCCAAGACTCCTCATTTCTAACAGGTTTCCAAGTGGCATTCGTGTGGCTGGTTAGAGCCACACTAGAACAAGTCCAGGCAAAGTCTGGGGCTTCTTAGGATACTAACAGCCCATCCATGCTTACATGATTGTTCTGCAGTGATGCTGACAGTTGTTTGGAATCTCCGCGTAGATGATGGTCATACTCAGGCTTCTGACTTGCATAGGAAGTTGGGATAGTTCAGTAAAGCTTGAAACCAAATATCCTGATCAGCCTCTCTGGCAGGCTGCTCTAAGTCACTATCTTTTGCAGGTAATCAATCCACATTTCAGGTAGTTGCTCAGTGGTTAGTGCCTTGCCTGGGGTTAGCCATCTAGCAAGAGAGGGTGCTTGGGCTAAGAGTCAAACCCAGTCATCTCTCCTTCCTTACTGGGAAGAAGAGGGCATGTTCCCTGGCATTGGAATCTGTAGCTAGTTCTTCAGGCTTTCTTGCCTTTTAGCAGCCATGTGATAAACAATCAGTCATAAGAGGTGAGAGGAGCAGAGGGATAGAAGAGCACTACAGTGGTGAGAGGGAGTGAGGGAAGCTGCCTAGGTTCTGTGAGAGCCTAACATATTCCCGTGAGAGGACCCACAGAAACAACACTGTGAACTCACCATGGTTGGTCAGGCCTTTGGGCCTAAGGACTGAAACACCAATTGCCCCAGCCGCTGTGTTTGGTGCATACACACAGCCATGGCTCTCCCTTCCTGTCTCTCCAACCCAGGTCTGCTTCAAGTACTTCTGCCGGAGCTGCTGGCACTGGCGGCACAGCATGGAAGGCCTGCGCCACCACAGCCCCCTGATGCGGAACCAGAAGAACCGAGATTCCAGCTAGAGGAGCAAGCAGTGTGCCCAGTGGCTGGTGGTGCCCAAGGCTGGCTGGTCAGGCAGCAGCCTGCACCGCTACCCTGGCATTGGCAACCAGGGAGCTGGCTTCCCGAGGACAAGGGAAAATCGTAGTCACCTTTGCACTTGCTGAATCTGTCTTTGTTTCTGCACTAATTAATGCACAATGAGTTTTGTCGGGTTTTGTTTTCAGGGGGTGTGCCAGGGCAAGGACCCTGTGGCTCACTCACCCTCCAAGCAACTCTGTAGTTTTCCCAGATTTTAGTTCCTCATTTTGCAGATGAAAAGCAAAAAAAGAACTATGTGTCCAGGAGGTATTGACACGAATGCCTACATCTAGGTTTATTTATTAAAGCGCTTTTTTACATTCCTTGCAATACTGATGGTGATGATGTGCAGGTCTCATTGGTTTCATTCTTGCAGTTGCCATACAGTGCCTTTCCATTTATTTAACCCCCACCTGAACGGCATAAACTGAGTGTTCAGCTGGTGTTTTTTACTGTAAACAACAAGGAGACTTTGCTCTTCATTTAAACCAAAATCATATTTCATATTTTACGCTCGAGGGTTTTTACCGGTTCCTTTTTACACTCCTTAAAACAGTTTTTAAGTCGTTTGGAACAAGAGATTTTTTTCTTTCCTGGCAGCTTTTAACATTATAGCAAATTTGTGTCTGGGGGACTGCTGGTCACTGTTTCTCACAGTTGCGAATCAAAGCATTTGCAACCAAGAAAAAAGAATTTGTTTTATTTGAAACTAGACTGGAAAAAAGTTTGAGCGGCTGCTCTATATAGTTTTAAATGGTTTATTGCACCTTCTTAAGTTGCACTTATGTGGGTGGGAGGGTTGATAGAAGTTTTTAATCACAAAGTCACAGGACTTTTTTCTTTTGTAACTGAGCTTAAAAAAAAAGGGCTGCTTTTTTTGGTGGGGGCAGATGAAGGCTCACAGGAGCCCTTTCTCCTAGAGGGGCTAAGTACCCTTCCTTACATCTTTCATTTAAGGAATGTATGAATCAACAGTTGCAGTTGACTGAAATGCTACTGGAATTTGAAAACTTGACTTTACTTTCCTTACATTTTTTTTAAATACTACTTGCCCCTCTTAGGGAAGCTGTGTGCCAAAGAACCAGTGTCATAACCCCCCTCCTCCCTCCTGCTGAGCTGATGTTGCATTGTTGCATATCCCAGCTACTCTGTGGGTTTTGTGAAGCTGTGTGTGAAGTCTCTACCTCATTGTAGTATATGCAGGCAAGACTGCACTCTCCTACAGATGTGTGGAGTAAGCTGTGGTGTAGTTTTTTTGGCACATAATAAACACGTTGCAGCAGAGTTGTTGTTCTGTCTGTGTCTTGAGGTGTGGAAGCATGGGGGCAGTGGGGTAACAAAAATCCAAAGAAAAACTCGTGTTCTTGGACTGTCTCGGATGGGAGGACAGTGAGACCATGTGGGAGATCTGGCCTGTGAGTACTTTGTCACCTCATGGCCAGGTGGACTTGGGAGATAACTGGCTTCCCAGTGGGCAGGAGCTTCCAACCCCTAGATCACAGGCCCCTGCGTTTAGCTTCTTGGTGCCCCTCAGTGCTCCAGCCAGATTGGAGCATGGACAAGTGCACTTGACTGGAATGACAGGACGACCTGGAAGGGAGCTTCAGAAAGGCCAGATTTGGTGACGGATGTGGCCGGCCAGGAGAGCGACTTCCTGCTGGGAGCACACAAGTGGACTGAGACTGCGTGTGTTCATTCGAGTGTCCGGGACCAGGGAGGACCTACACAACCACAGTGCCGGCCGCGGAGCTCGCTTCCAGAGTAGAGCGGACAAGTTGATAAGGGAGTGTTCCAGCCGACCCCAGAAAAAACGAGAAAAACCTCTTCAGGCGCACTGGTGTGGCCCACAGGCCAGGGGCGGAGGGCCCAGGCGGGTGCATCCCCCACATCCTCGCGGGTTCACAGCCTGCCTTGCCTTGCCTCCCCGGGGGCTTGGGGCGCTCCCTCGGCTCCCC